CCGAATACACAAAATCATCCATATATAATCCGCTCTCAATTGCCCTCTTAGCTTTAGGATAAGAGGGACCTTCATCGTGAGCGAGCTGTCTCACCGTGCGTAACGCATGAAATGGGCTCGACTTTAAACCAAAACAAACGCGGTTAAATTCTAACACCATTAGAGGTTCCTTTGGGTGGAAACGATATAAAATGCGCTGGAATCTACGGTCGCATTCACGGACCCCTATGCAAAGAAACATTTGGCGAATATCGGCGGATAGTGCTATACTAAACAAACGAAAATTGACTATTATATCAAATAAACTGCCCTGTAAATTTTGCCCACTATAGAGGATATCGTTAAGCGACAGGTGAGTGCTAGTTTTAGCACTAGCGTCGAGCACTACACGTAATTTAGATGTAAGTTTGTCCTCTCTAATGACTCCGTGGTGTGGTATAAAATACGACGGTGTGTCTTCGTAGTTATCTAATTTCGAAGCCACAAGTGATATGTAACCTTCTCTTATATATTCGTTAATGACGCCGTCGTAAGCTTCCTTTAACTGGGGCGAAGCGAGCATCCTACGCTCCAAGCTGTAGAAACGTTTTTCCGCCATTTGACGCGAATCGCCGAGAGATAAAACATCTCCCTTAAAGGGTAGCGCTACACTATATCTACCGTCGCGATCACGAACGGTCGTGCGGACGTAAATTTCCTCGCATATCCTGTCATCTGAACTAGCTATGGGTGGGACGTTCACCTCCTCCATCTCCCAAAATTTGCGGACTAACGACTCGAGCGGTTCGACAGCCATACCACAATAAGAGGCTGCCGAAATACTATCTAGGATGGGGGCGGAGCCAAGGATCACATAGCCCAATACGGTTTCCAGTGCGTAAGGCGCGGTATGCGAGGAGTTGCCCCTGACCTTATTGTTTAACAAAAGATGAGGGAAAAGCGATGCCCCAATGAGCATGTCTATGTTTCCAGGAACGGCGTAAGTGTCGTCTGCTAGAGTCAAATTTTTAAATTCAATCATTGCCGAGGCGTCAACCGAAACGGTTGGCAACCGTTCAGTGACCCTATCTACTACTAGTGCATTTATATCAAAGTTAACGTTACGATCTATCCGAGAATAAAATTTTAAATTTATATATCCCTGTGTCGCTTTACTAGTACCTCCGATGCCTTTAACTACAGGACATGAAAGTGACCTATTTATTACTAAGCCTAAGCGCTGACAACATTGTCGTGTTATAAAGCTATTTTGGGCTCCGCTGTCCAGCAGTGCACGGACGCTTTGTTTGTTTCCACGCGAATCCCTAACCAAAATACGCGCCGTACCCAGTAACACGGTTGAAGGAGGTTGTGCTCCCATATTTGCCAATGAGCACAGAGCGACATCACCAGGTCGACCGCTAGAATCGTTGACCTTAGTAGGGGTGAATTCCTTATTCGCCTTACTTGACGCCGCTATGTTGCTATTTTCAAAATGTAATAGCGTGTGATGTTTCCTGGCGCACTTGCTACATACGGAACTCGAATTGCATTTTGCAACTAAATGCTTATCGCTTAAGCAGTTCAAACATAGGTTGTTTGTTTTTACTAACTTATAACGTTCGCTTGGTGAATATTTACGAAAAGTCGCACAGTTATATAAATTACCGTGTTTATCTTTACATACTATACAAGTATGCTGGAGTGATGTCGGCGTAGCGGTTACGTAAGTTAACGACCCTGCTATTTTAGATGGTTGAGTCTGTCTACGGTCGACGCACCTTTTAATCTCCTGTTTAACGTTCGGTGAGCGCTGCATCACCTTTATTTGATCTCGCACGAACGATGCTAATGAATGAAAGGAAGGCATCTCCGAGCTACGATGCTCCATTTCAAACGCACGCACGGTGTCGGAGTCTAATTTCTTTAATGCTATATGGAGAAACACCACGTCCATGAGGTCATTAAACTTCAAATTCTTAAGTGCAGCCACCGATGCCACAAATTTATCGAGAAACTGCTCTAAGCCGTTGATGTTCGCGGATGATATAGGTTTAAGATCGAATATCTGGTTCAAATATTCGGAAGCTAACATTCTCCTATCTTCATATTTAGTTTTAAGCGTTTCAAATATTAATACGTAATTGTTTGCTGTAGGTGTAAAACCCGAGCAGATCGACTGTGCTCTGCCACTAAGTTTACTAATTAAGTAATATAATTTTTCAGCGTCCGATAACGATGGGTTGTTGTGTATATTGTTTTGAAAACTACTGAAGAAGAAGGGCCACGTCTTAATATCACCATTGAATACCGGAATATCTATTGGCGGTAACCTAATTGAGTCACGAGGGCGTACCTGCATTTCAGGCTTCGCTTCACCTTGAGATTGTAGCAATTTTGCGGTTCTCTTCACGCGACACAACATATCTTCGAATGCCAGCAGCGGTTGGTAGTTCACTATGTATTTCGGGTCGGTTTGTAGTTCCGAATGATTAATTTGATCTAATATTCTTTCGTAATCTGTCCGCAAATTATCTATCGTTTCGATTTCATTTAAAAAGGCCTCCCGTACTGCCTCTATATGAATGTTCTTTATATAATCACTTATATTCTGCATACGCGAAAAGAGTATGTCCCTCTTGGCATAAAGCGTTTTAATTTTGATTTCACTTCCACTAACTGCCATTTTAAATTATTATAATAAAGTTATATTAATCACAATTAATCTCACACGCATAAACGACGTAGGATGAATACTCGGCGTGCCGTATTACGTAATCAGATCGAGCGCCCGATGCAGTCAAGGCTACGCGTCGTTTGCTAAACCTAATAATTTTATAAAATTGTGGGGTAAGCGTATCAAACGGTTGCTATCACGCCGTTTCAATTATTTAATAAGCTTTAAATTTAACCAAATACGAGCGCTATTAAATGAATAATTCTGTTTGCGAGTAACAAATCAAAATTTTAATTTAAACGAACACTATTTAAGTCTATTCTATAAATTAGAGTGCGTTATCTAAACAATTAATTTAATAATTCGACCAGAAAATGGTTGGATAACCACTAAACACCAATCCAGATCCTGCCGAAGTGACCATAAAATGGTGGAGCCACGTGTTTAAGGCTGCCGAAAATCTAGTTCCCCGGTCAAACCTCAAACCTATTACGCGAGATATTAACTAAAGTGGACTGTATATGCGATTGCTTCTACGCTTACGTAAAGCGACTACTATAGCATGCGGTACAATGCACTCGCTCTTCCCTAAACTAAACTATTACTTGTCGAATCGATGAAAGGAATCCTGCTTGACTAGGAAAAAAACACAGATAGGAGCGGGTTAAACTATTAGCAAGCAGGTATAATTAAGGAATATTGACTCACCGGGGTTTCTTCTTCCTGTCGATCACTATAGCGACTTCTGGAACACTCCGGAGAGAGGCGGTGCGCGACGATATCTCACACGAGGTGAGGCGGGTTCCTGGAGCTCGACTGCTTCCAGGCCAAAGCGGTTTCCACTAGTGAGGTGTTTCCAAACGAGCGCGCGGGAAGAGGAGGTTGTAGTTCAACGACGACTGCGGCGGGAGAAGAGGCTCGCGCATCGGTCGCGCGTGTCTTATATATCCTCGGCTCGGGTGATTACGCGATGTTCTAGAATCGTCTTCTTTCCCCTCCCACCCCACCACCCCGATGTGTCGATAGGAGGGTACGAATGATATTGTTTGGAAAGGAAATAATGATTCTACAAGTTCCTACCGTCAAATAAAAAACGCGAATGGTTTTCCGCGCAACCAACTCTGATATTTAAATATTTGGAAATTATATATAAAAACTACGTTTTAACGTTCATACAAAATAATTAATTATTCTTATTTTAGTTTATTCATGAATTATCTATTAAATATATTTTATTAACTATTTTATATTAATAATTTTATATTATTTATAATTTCAAATAAATTTTATATTAATTATATTTTATTACCTATTTTATATTGTTTGATTTATTAGTGCATCATAAAAATACGTTTTATTTCATCATTATGTTTACTTCTATTCATCTGATAAGCTATGTATCCTTGTTTTCTAAGGGGACGTAATAAAGATTTTAAAATAAAATATACTTTTTTAATATAAAAACAATTAACTGCAGCTTAAAAAAAACTCATTTTATTGCGTATTTTAGGTAAAATTTCATATAGTAAGCCACACCAACCTGCCATTGCATGTTTGTGTGTCTATCTTTATCTAATCTAGAGACGATATTGTTTTCGCAACTTGTGTAAGTGAGATAGATATATGTTTACCTAAAATTGTTATTAGTTTCAAAGCTACGTCGTCGCGTTTGGATAGTGGTTACACTTTTTTCGACGCGCGATAATGTAGTTTGCTCCTCTAGTGTTGTATAACTCAATGTGTTTTACGGTTAGAAGACATTTTTATTTTTTACCAACAAACGGCAACAACTTTATTTCACTCACCACTACACTAAAACTAAACTACTTTACAGTTTTACACGCGTGTATACATGTTTACAGATTGCGCCGTTTTCAAAATCAACTTATACGTATGAACTTAATTCTAGATTTTTCATCCAACGCATAGATACATACCTGTTTTTAAAATTGAAACTTACTGCAAGATTTTTTCATCCATCGTATAATCGATTTACTAATAATCGATTAATATTACTATAAAAATCGATAGTAAAAAATTATAAGAAAATAACAATCGATTTTAAAAAAAATCGATTATTTTGTAATATCCCTACATATTAATTTAAAATCATTTGTAGTTGTAGGTTGTAGGTAGTGGTTGTAGTGTTGTTTTCGTAGTCTTGTGTTGAACTCTTTTTTATTAAACCTTATTATTTCTATAACATAAATATTTTTAATTGGTACATTTTTTAATATCGCAAAAAACAAGTTTGCTGCAGTTCCGTTACGATTTTTCTATCAGAAAATGTTTTATGAATAAAACTATAGATATTTTATAAAAGGCGAATCTCTGGGCTATATTTTTGTTTATATTTATCGGGGTAAGTTTTATCATCTAATTTCCGATTTTATTAACTTATTTATTACGCGTTACATTTATAGGCCCTCCTCTGTCAGTCACAAACTCCGTATGTATGTAATAGTAATATTTCTTTTATGTATTTTAAAGTTACGGCTTAATCTCATTTAAAACAAGGGTATAGGAATAAATGCTTGCACTATTTCTGGCGCTACTTGGCATCATTACACAGACGAATGGCTACATCCTATTCTAATCCACGTCCGTGTAGATATTCGCGGATTAGAGGATGTTGGGAGCCATGTGTTTGTCTTGTCTATAAAAATAATAGTTTTTATTAAATTCGGCACAGAACAATTAGGTATATTCTAAATGATACACTGTAGAACTATTATTGTGATATTATCAGGTAGAATAGTTATTAAATTACCTTCCTTTGTAATAAGGTTTCAATTTTAAAGTACCAATATTTCTAAATATTTTTCACCCTAAATTGTAGAAAATTACTTAAAATTTGCTTTTTTGTGCCATCTTGTATAAATTGCATGTTCTTTCATTAGTGTTTTAATAGTGTATATCTAATCTATATATATAAAAATATTATTTGTTTGTTCATATTTTATGCGCTGCCATACCATCAGATTGTAGTAAAACTTTGTTATCATATGGTTTGCACTTCTGCGAAGGTTACTGGTTTAGTAGGTGGCGCTGTATAGGATCCAGATATCACCCGCTCGAAGTCAAGGCAGATTGCTAATAAAATATAAATCTTTAAATTCATTAAGCAGTCTGCAATAGAACAAAGCCATTTAATTTTCATTAAACTGAAGAATAATTCTACTATATTGTCATAATTAAACTATATATATTTGGGTAGGTACCACCCTCTTACCTAAATTTGCAACCAAGCATTAGTGCATGCACTGATGTGTTCCAATCTGAAGGATGTAGTCAGTATAATTAGGCTGCAAGGCATTCTTAGTTCTCAGAGATGACAGCACATCTGTAGCCTACTTTGTTTGAAGTTGGCTGCAAATATCCAATGACTGCAGTAGCCACTTACCGTCAGGTGGACTGTAACTTCGTTTGTCACTAGTTTAATAAAAAAATCTCTTAAATTTTTTTTAGACGCATAATTGAATATTCTACAAGGAGATACACCATGTGGATGTTTTATTTTACATTGATTATCAATCTAATGTTAGTTTATTGTTTATGGTATTTTTAAAATCTAAAGATTATACTTAAACAGCCTGTAAATAAAAATCACTTTTTTGTTGGTTACTGTACACCATAAAAGGCAACTCAGTTATTATTTAAGCAATAAAGAAATAAGCCAATCAACAAAGGAAAAGATTTCCTTAGTTTAAATAGTTTTTTGCAAGCTAGCATAACTAGATCATTGACATGTACTTGATTGTGTTGGTAAAAGTATTATGCTTTGGTAATAGTATTTATTACGTGGTGGAGCCATGCTGCAGTTATATCAGTAGTATAGTTGTAGCATGAATGGGTCGGCTCGACCGGGGAAGGACCATTGCTCTCACAGAATACCAGCGTCAAATAGTAGCTTAATGCTGCTGTGTTTCGTATGGTGAGTGTAGAGAACTGGAGAGAGAAACTTTTTACTGGAAACGAGGTATTCCACCTAAGTCCTCACTGATGACAACGCATCTGCATTTTGATTTGTAATCGAGGATAGATGTAGATGTCTATGGGCCACAACAACCACTTACCATCAGGTGGACTGTCTGCTCGTTTGTCATCTTGTCCTATAAAAAAAAAGTAATATCAGCGACAGTAGGTTGAGGTGCTACTAGGGCATTCCAACGACACAAACATCTGGTTCATCAGACCAGGCTTAGAAAAAACTAGTGTAGCCAAGGAAAAAAAATATTTTTCATAAAATTTGGTTTGGCCGCTAACAAAGTGCTTTTGACACCTGATTTAAATAAAGCCCAGATCATAACTGGTATTGCTCTCTTTTCATGAAGATTCATCACAATTGGTTCAGTCATTCCAATTGAATTCAATCGAGGACATTCTTCCTTTAATTGCAGATGGACCAATGACTAAAGTGAACTACACACTACCACCACTTTTAGAACCTTTGGCCTTTTTCAGTCACTAGTTCTTCATCAGATTTTCTGTTTCCAAATAGATTTAACATATTTTTTTTGTTTCAGACAAGAGTTGTCACGATGAGCCAGTTCAAGACTTTGTTGTCATTGGCTACTAATAATGCAAAGACAGCAGTAAGAAGTAATGGAAATGTAAGTAATCATTACCCCTCTATGTGTGTGCTTGCTGTGTGTCGATAGTTTGCCGGTGACTACCCTTCTCGCCTCCTGTGCCGACCGCATCCTGTGCTCGCCTAGTTAGTACCGTTAGCAACGCAGCCGTATTCTCATGATTGCAGCGTCTTTGAATTTATTGCTCTCGCTCCAAAATTTTTAATTTATTTTTTGTTAGTGTTATTTTTTTATCTAAATGGGTAAAGAGAAAGCTTCTAGCAGTGGCAAACATGTTATTTTAATTTTAACGTTTGCCTATATTAAATCTTAGTAACAACTCCAATGTTTTTTATTAATAATGTTTCCTATATCGATTTATTGCATTTACAACCACTATTTTAATAACATGTCTTTTTATCAACCGTACTTACCATTAACATGTGACGTCACAACATCATCGGCAAACTTTTTGTGCGCAGTTAATATTTATGGTGTGCATATGTGTGATATGAATGGTGATATTTTGCCCTAGATAAAAACGATTTTGACTGGGTTTTTAAACAGATTACTCTAAATACAGGAGTCTTTCTTTCTTTCTTTCTTTCAAATAGATCATCATCACTTTTAGCAGAAATAACAAAAAAAAGTGATATTCATTCTGTAAATACTAGGAACAGACACAAGCTAGTAGTACTTGTTACTCGACTCCACCGAGTCAGTAATTCATTCTCGGGGCAATGTATACGCTTTTACAACAAAATCCCAGAAAATATACAAAGTTTGACATACACAAAGTTCAAAAACTTTATTAAACTAAGTTTGTATAAAAAGGGTTATTATAATATTAAGGAATTTATGGATGATAATAACCCCTGGGAAGGGTGATTGCTACCAAGCTATTTCTAATTTGTTTTGTGTTGATTGTAACATACATGATTGTAAGCTCTTATTTAAAAAAAATAGTCGCGCTGGGTTTCTTGCTGGTTTTTCCCAAGACAGAGGTTTTTTTTTGCGAACTAGTAATGAAAAAAAAGTGACTCAATAAGTATATTATTATTTATAATCCATATTGAATAAAAAAGTTTCTGTTACTGTTTCTAGCAAGTAACAAGTCTACTGTTAGTATGGAATTTTCAGGCAGGCGTCTACCCCCAGAGACACGGCTCCATTACTACAGCTTGACTATAATCCCACCTGATAGTAAGTAGTAAGTGATGAAGCCCTAGAACCATAGATGGTTAATTGCACTGGATTAGCGTAACAGAAATCTATGCACTGTTTCCATGAAGTCACCCAGATTGTAATCAGATGGAAAAGGGGTGTTGTATAATTATTCTATTCCCTTGTTCCACGACAAACCGTTTGGTTAGATTGCGCGGCGTATGGACGACAAAGGGGTGAAGTCCTGCCGACCGCTTGGTTTTCCGATGCTGGGAAAGGGACTTTCTTCTTACTTCGACTTTATTAACAATATTATGTTAATACATAAAGGGAAAGCTTTGTACCCTTTTTAAGCATATTGCGCCCGCGGAGTGTGAGATTTTGGCATAGACATAGTTACAAGTTAAAGTTTAAATTTATATAATATACAGGTATAATACTGTGACACGGGTGATTTCTAGATCTCGACAACAACGCCACCTAACGAGTCCAAATGTAAATCTAAACCATTCTCGTTACAACTTAATCTCACACAAAAAAATTTCATCCAAGGCCCGCGGAATTCCGTTTCGAGATATCGTTTCGGAATTCCCAACGAACGGTTCGCACACATAGGGAATCCCGTTTTCTCCGTAAAATTTCGAACGGAACACTACCGTAGTAGGTGTGTGACGGGTCATTGATTTTATATGGACTTGCTACGTTCGGAATTCCTTATGTATGTGGCTGGCGTAAATCGGACCAGCCGCTTAGTAGGTCAGTCACATAAACACAGACAGAAGAATGTTATATAATGTGTTACAAATACATTAAATGATTAGGCCATGACCATGACCATGGCATGGATAATGCAAAAAACCTTCGGAAATATAAAACAAGTTAAATAAACACGATAAAATCCGTAAACTAGTTTTATTCAACTTCTGTTCAGAAATCTACGATCACAAAATTCATGTAATATTATCATTTTAATTTAAAAAGTAGAAACTGGTGTCTTAGTTGCACGCACGTTTCTAACCACTCTCCTCCACCCTAAAAAAGGATACAAAAAGGAAAAAAAAAAAGGAATAGGAAAAAAAACCATAAAAAGGTTAACATCATTCGATAGGCGAATGGACATCACGTGATGTCTTACGAGGCACCTACATCTATTATTCTCGCATTAATATCTACTTAGAGTATGTATGTTATTATTTGCTCTTCTCTCGACATAACGGTATAGATTCAAATAGAATTTATATATCTATATGACGATACATCTCTCAGCTCTCTAAAATTAATTTTATTTCTTATGCATCGTTTAGTCATAAATATTAGAGATATTCGTATTATCAACACTGACATGAAAATCACACTGTATGACTTTAAAAATTGGTTTGCTACTAACGATCTTGTATTAAACACAAATAAAACATACGCAATGCTTTTCAAATCTACAGCAAAACGAAAGGAATCAATAAACATTAACATTGACGGTAAAATATTGACTCTGTTCAATCAGTAAAATTTCTAGGAATCCACATTGACATGTATTTGAATTGGAAAAAGGAAATGAAAGCACTAGAATCTACTATCAGTTCAGCATGCTATGCGTTAAGAAGTTTACGAGACGAAGTTACGTTAAAACAGCTTAAGTTGTTTTATTTATTTATTTTTTCTTTTTTAAAAAAGAATATTAACAATGCTATAAACATTACTAATATTCCCCTTAACCACTCGTGGTAAGCTTAAATTGCTTGTGTTACGAGTGGTTCACGCCAATAGGCGAATGGCGGATTCGAACCCACGACCTTTTTGAGTTCGCGGTCCGCGTCCTGCCATTAGGCCACTGTCGCTTAATTATTTTGCTCTAGTGGAATCAAAACTTCGTTATAGCATACAATTCTAGGGCAACAGTTATAAATATAATAGTTTGTATTACAAAAAAGAGCGATCCGCACCATGTTATGTATTCCACGAATTGAATCGTGTAAAGAACATTTTCGAAAACTTGGCATACCTTGCGGTTCCCTCTTTGTATATCCTAGTTTCACTTACATATTTAGTAATTTTTTTTACAAATATGAAACAAACAAAGAACGGAAAAATAGAGAAACGACACGTCGAAAATATTTAAAAACTTCAATTACACAAACATTGTTGTACGCCACAGCACAAGGCACCAAGCCATTGCACTATTTAATTCTTTGCCTATCTCGTTTAAAATTATTTATTGTCACCACAAATTCCTAAATAAACTCAAATCATTATAAATTAAAAAAAGCGACTACTCAGTTGACGATTACCTAAATGACAAAAATAAACTTAATGAATGTTAATTTTTGTTTTGTTTATGTACTGTTTAATATACTATAATCTGTTATGGCATGAAAAATATTTAATTATGACATGAAAAGTATTGAATGTAAAATGATTGTCAAATGATATTTAAATAAAATTCGATTTTAGTTTTATTTAACTTAATTGCATGCAAACGTAATTCTTCATTTTGTGTTATTAATTCTTACAATACAATCGTAATATTGTTCTATGGAATAAATGACTATGACTGTGACTAACAAAAATCCAATATTTCATTTTTATCTTAAAAATGAAGTATGCGTCTTTCTCTTATGTTTTGAAATTCCAAATAGGTAGACTGTGTATTTCATAGTTTTGGCCCGTTTTTGTACATTTGTATAAGCTAATAATATAAAGAGGTCCGTGACAGTGAAGATGAACTGTAATGAGCCGTGGTAGCTCAGGGGCTAAGCGCTCGCTGTAAATTTCACAGTACACGTGCAACCCGGGTTCGATCAGGTGAAGGAAATCAGTATAAGTATCTGAGAAATTAAAAAAAAAATATTTTGGAAGATGTCAAGTCCGCATACACGTACTGGGGCAGCGCGGTGGATCTTTCCTTGTCATAAAACCCTGTAGTGGGACGTATAGGCAGTATTTTTTTTAAATATAATAAGTATACATAATATAAAAGATAATGGTTTAAATATAGCTTGCTAATATAAAGCTATTATTATGGTAGTATAATAAAAACAGATTACCCACATTAACTTTGTTTTACTCGACAGTAGAATTTTCTACTAATGATATTTAAACATCGATATTCAAGCATAATAAACTGATTTTCATCTCTGATACTTTTTTAATATCACCTGTACTTATAAATAAATCTATATTTATGCATAAAAATAAAATCTAAAGTATCTGTAGGTAATATCGAAATGACTGCTTTATGTAGAACTGATGTCATGTTCATGACATTAAAACATGAATAAAATTTATGTCTGTCTACCTGTCCGAGCTAATCTTCGAAATGGCTGAACCAATTGTAAAGAAACTTCACGGACAGATCGAGAGCACTCCTGGTATTGATGATGGTCTGAGTGATGTTGTTTTTTGAAAAGAAAAACACGAATAAATGAAAATGAAAAATGTTTTACTAACAGAAAAAAATATACAATAGGTAATATCTGTTGGTTTCCTCACTAAGCCTGTATCGAGGAAACCTGAGACCAAAGTTCATTAGGCGTTATTTTATACACCTTATGAGACACATTGTATTAACATATTGCATAAAACAGCAATAAAAGAACTGCTTGTTGCTTGAAATCTATAAACATAAAAAAAAAGAAACTCAACAACCAAGCCAAGTTTTATACGGGTATAAATACTGGAATGTATTAACTATATATTTATATTTTTAAAAAGAAAAATAAAATTAAATTAAAACAATAACAATATTTACTTGAAAATTTCACAAATACCATAAATTAGCAGAAGCCAGTTTTTAACAATTTTTCTGTTTCCTCATATGATAAGGTGACCAACCATTTCAATATAAATAATTTCTCAGGTGCGTATTTTTTATTTATAATATT